CCGAGGTGCTGAATAAAAGTTGGGTGTTTGAACAGAAGAGTGACCTGTGAACGTGAAACTGCTAACCAAAGGGTTAATGGGACCAATAAGCACAGCTGCAACTTTTTACCTAGATTTTTCCACTTGCCTTGAGAGGTCTCTGACTCTCCTCCCCCAACAAGGAGGCAGACTTGAGGCTTGCTCCCCCATCTCCTTATTTGGTGGAGCTCTCAAAAAAAAAAAATATATATATATATATATAAACTCAAGATTCTTGCTGGACTCTCTCTGTATCATTGATTGTGCTCCGAGTCCGAGGGAGCTTTTGGCCCGGGGTTGGTCAGCCCCCAGCCAGTACGGGGAATGCTGTGACCAGTCCAAGCGATGTCCTAGGCGGATTGTCCTAGGGACTGCCCCCATCACCTCCCCACACCCTGCACTGGGTACAGCCAACCCTGGGTGCCTAATTTAACTCTTGGGGCAAGGAAGCAGTTTTTGGCTTTAGTTTGGACACATGTCTCGGTGAGTACTTCGTATGCAAGGCCACGTGAGCCTATTTCCTTTTCTGGTGGGTTGCCTCCAAATATAGGGATTGGTGTGGATCTCTTGAGCGACTCCCTTCTCATCTGAGAGTTGGCCAGGGAACTGCTCCATTCAGGAGGTGAAGCCCTGGCTTTGGGGGAGGAACTCATGCTCACAAGGTATTCAAGGCTCCATTTGGTTTGTCTATTGCTGCAGCTTTTGGGATCTTTGGACAGAATCAGCCATGTTCTAATTGGAAAATGGAAAGTGAATTTGATTCCCCAGCGCAGCCCAAACTCAGGCAGTCTTTGTTTTGCAACACTGCTTAATCATAATATTCATTAGAGTGGAGAAGCATGCCCAATTATTGGAGCCATAAATTATGATATGTTTGGAAATTGGGGCTTTAAGATTTTGGTTGGATCTCATTGTGTATTTGTGTGTCCATGTATGTATCTTTTAAGTGTAAGATTTTTTTCCCCTCTATCTCTGGATGGTGTTGCTAAAATTAATTTGTAGAAGAGCTCAATTTTTTGGTGTAAAGGCAAGTGATTATAAGAATTGGGCATTCCTCGGAGGGCCTGGGTGGCTCAGATGGTTAAGCACCTGTCTTCAGCTCAGGTCATGATCTCCAGGTCTTGGGATCAAGCCCCACATCGGGCTCCCTGCTCAGCAGGGAGTCTCCTTCTTCTTCTCCCTCTCTCTCTCTCTCTCCTCCTGCTTGTGCTATCATTCTCACAAATGAATAAATAAAAAATCTTAAAAAAAAAAAAAGAATTGGGCATTCCAAAACCAAGAAAAATATTTTCAAGTTAATGTGATCTGGGAAAATAATAGTAAAGCTAATTCAAGGTTGTTGGTTTAAATTCAATAGATATGTTTTTAAAGTTGCCAGTAATAGACGTAGAACATCGGTTCTGCCTGTGTCTATTGAGAGTCAAAGAGGTTCATATTATGAAGTAGTATGGGTAATCGAAACAATTGTTGAGAACAAACATAAGTTTGTTTTTGGCTTCTATTAAGGGAAACAACGCTGTATGCAAGGAAAGTGAGACTGATTATATAAAGGAGGAAAACATAGGACAGAACCTGAATGTAAGGGGCACCTGGGTGGCTCAGTGGTTGAGCGTCTGCCTTTGGCTCAGGTTGTGATCTTGAGGTCCTGGGATCCAGTCCCAGGCTCCCTGCATGGAGCCTGCGTCTCCCTCTGCCTGTGTCTCTCATGAATAAATAAAATCTTAAAAAAAAAAAAAACCCTGAATATTAGAAGAAAAGTTGTAGACGGTCTGTGAGAAGGGAATCTTTGGAAGGGAATTTTGTGCATGGTCAGGGCTAAGATTATGGAGATTAGTAAAGAAGTGTATTAGGGAACAAGCGACAGCTGGGGAAGAGAGATGGCTAAGAGAATAGGATCAGGCTGCGGTCAAGCAGTGATTATCAATGGAAGCCTCAGCCCGTTCTCTGAGGAGTTCCAAAAGCTGGACTGCCCTTCAGAACCATCTGAAATTGGGGCACGTGGCTGGATTTTATATAGTCCTGTTGAACATTCATTGGATGGGACCACCTGGGAAGGGGATGTGACCTCAGCAAGGCGGCTAGCGGTCTTCAGTCCTGGCCCTCCCTCACGACCCCTGAGAGTGGAGGACTGTTGGCAGCATGCCCACAGCTGAGAGTCCTTCACTGCTGATGAGGATCCTGGCCAGCACATCCCAGCACCCACCACAAAGACTCAGATCCTTGCAGCACCCTGGCTGGCCCTATCTCATGAGTATAGGTCAGCATGGGCCATGACAGGGAGGGACAACGGAAGGACTGCATGGGGTTTTTAAAAATTTCATCTTGTTGGAATGAATTTTACTCTCAGGAGTACATCAATACGGGGCACCTGGTGGCTCAGTTGGTTGAGTGTCTGCCTTAGGCTCTGGTTGTGATCTCAGGGGCCTGGGATCGAGCCCCGTATCAGGCTCCCCACTCCATGGGGAGTCTGCTTCTCCCTCTGCCCTCCCCCACCCCACCCCTGCCACTCATGCTCTCCTCTCTCTTTCTCTCTCTGTCTCAAATAAATAAATAAAATCTTTTTTAAAAAGTGCATCAGTACAAGATTGGAATTTGGTTTCCCTATTAAAATGACCATATTCTTAGTTATTGGTCTACTCTTAGTAAGAAATTATAAACAAAGGCTTTCTTTCTTAATTTTCCTAGAAGAAACGTTGCCATGTTTTGTCTTTATTAGGTCTTTGATTATTTCAGACTGTTGAATCTTAATATTAAAAGGCTAAGTTTTGCTAACAACTACATAATCCTTTATTTGCCTTTAGAATCTTGCGGCACCTTGGTTAAATAGTGAAATATAAAGTTTTGTAATGATCTGTAATCCTATTTAGGCATGTGTTTCAAAACCTTACAATATTTTTGACCGAATTCCCAAGATTCAACTTCTAAATGAAATGTTTTTATTAATGAGGCTTGTTCATTTGGTATGTCAAATTACATGGGAAGCATTGTCAAATAAGTGATGATAAACCTTCTTAGATTATTTTATATGGGTGAACGCTATAACCACTCCAGAAATTATGTAAAATTCCTAAAGTTTTGTTAGGTCCTAGTGTAATGTCATCGCTTATAATTCTAATTACTGACATGTTCTGTGCTACAGGGAAACCATGGCCATTTTTGAGTGTTTTGTCATGTATAGTCATTGTTTTACTCTCGTGCTGTTACGGATGCGTTTCAGCTTCAGGGGGATTCATGGAAAGGACTTCTGACAAGTATAGGTCTTTGATACCTTTAAGGTCGTAAAACCAAACTGAGTAAGAATTTCTGGAAGTAACAGGAAAACTGCATTCAAGCAGAACAAGAGTTAGTAACATGGGACTCAATGAATTGAGGATGATGATTACTCCTGTTTGAAACATTGCTCAGTCTCTAATGTTGGCTTTTCCAGATTTAAACTGTTTTTCTCTTAAGCTGTTAGGACTTGCAGAAATTTGGTAAAATATTTCTTTGTAAGCAAATATGAAACAGTTATCTTGTTCTCCCCACCTGATCCCTCTAGATTCAGAAACTCTCAGTGAGTGTTCTCAGATTTTCATGGCAATGTATTTATTTGCATAAGACCAGTAAGAATCTATTATCATAGGACACAATTAGAAACACTGGTTATATTATAAAGGCTTTGACTGGAATATCCTATTTGAGCGAGACATGCATAGACTCAGATATGACCAGACAGCGTTAAGGAACTGAGGTTGACTTTATGAGCGAGTGAAGCCCCTTGATAAAAATCAGCCTAGGACCTCACTTACAGGGTACCCAGCAGCCTTACCGGGTGAATAAAGAGGTCACTTCCTGGCAGGTGCGGGAACCTCAGGATATTTGGGGGACCTCATGAAGAGAGGAATTTATTCATATCTGCAATACCTGCAGGCAAAGTCTGATGGCAACTATTTGGCTTGGCTTCTTGGCCTTGAGGATCTACTAAAAGTTCAGTCTGAAATTCCTTATGAGAAGTTCCAGCAAAGCAGATTTTCTGTTTTAAAATAAAGCAAACCTTATATAGCCAGTCACTATTCTTGCAGCACTTATGTAAATAATTAGGCCAAGATTGTTAGAACTGAAGTCTTGATTTGGCTTTACTTGGTGGAAATGAGGGTGATTTTAGAGAGAAAAATCACACATTTGTGAATAGTAGATTCACTGTCTTTGGGTGTTTGTTGTTTGCCTCTAAAACCGGGCTGGATCCTAAATTCTGGTTTCTTCCAGTATGTGGCTATGATTCTCCAAACTGTGGTTTCCAATTTTCTCCATTCCCTAAAGCTGCTCTTTCTCCGGAAGCCTTGCAGACTGAAGCTAGACAATCTGAGGTAGCCTGCAGATATCTTAGAATTTTTAGAGCTGCTTTGGAACCCAGGGAGGTAGCTGTTGTCCACCGCCAAGGACACCAGAAATGGGGCTGCTTGATTGCCCAAAGGAACAATCAGATCAAGCTGCCAGGCTGGCAGCCCACACAAAGACTCCAAAACCCTTTGTAGTGGCTTTAGTAGCAGATGAGTCATAGACTAAACCAAACATCAGTCCTAGTATTCCTCTGAAGACCTGAGGAGAGCTGCCATCCACAGCTCTCGAGAACCATCTAGTAGCTGCCTGCCAAGGCCCTTGCACAAAGAGCTGTCTCTGTAATCAGAAGCCTCCAAGGTTGTGCAGGGAGCTTGACAGACGAGGTGTGCTGACTGCAAAATTTAGAAGTTTTGACCTATTAACTAATGCAGTGTTCTGTGTTCAGCTGTCTCTGATTTCAATGCAGGTACAGAGTTTGAGAAAAAATTATTCTGAATAAAGGGAGAGAAAGTAGGATCGGCTAAGCCCAGGATGAGCAGTAAAACCCAGTTTGGTTTGTGTTTTTATTAGCTCTTGAGCTTGTCAGTGAAGACCTTGCCTGGCTCTACCTCTCCCTCCCCCACTAGGCATCCTGCTCATTGTGCATATTTTCTTCCACACAGGCAATTTTCACCCAGAAAAACAAGCTGCTTCCTGACCCTTTGGACACTAGACGCTGGCAGGGCTTCCGGCTGGAGGAGTATCTGATAGGGCAGTCCATTGGCAAGGGTTGCAGTGCTGCTGTGTATGAAGCCACCATGCCTGTGTTGCCCCAGAACCGGGAGGTGGTGAAGAGCATCAGACCTCTTCCAGGCCGAGGCCCAGATGTCGTTGCACGAGAAGAGGAGCCAGCTTCACAGGCCCCTACCTTTCCCTTAGCCATCAAGATGATGTGGAATATCTCGGTGAGGAGGGGGCCTTTCATCTTGGAATTAGGCATTTCTTAAAACACTAGGGGCACCTGGGGGCTCAGTTGGTTAAGCATCTGCCTTCAGCTCAGGTTGTGATCTCGGGGTCCTGGGATGAAAACCCACATGAGCTCCCTGCTCAGCGGAGAGCCTGCTTCTCCCTCTGCTCCTCACCCCGCTTATGCTCTCTCTCTCTCAAATAAATAAATAAGATCTTTATTTTAAAAAAAAAAGAAAAGCCCCTTGGGATGCCTGGGTGGCTCACTGGTTGAGCATCTGCCTTCAGCTCATGTCGTGGTCCTGGGATCGAGTCCCTCATCAGGCTCCCTGCAGAGAGCCTGCTTCTCCCTCTGCCTGTGTCTCTGCCTCTCTGTGTGTATCTCTTATGAATAAATAAAATCTTAAAAAAAAAAAAAGCCCCAATGTTGGTGGACCTGCTAGTGCTTTTTCCCAGGAGGCAGATGGGCTCTTGTATGGTTAGGCTTCCTTGCCCGCTCACACGGGAGTCTTAGGTTGTGATAGGCTGCCAGTCACCTGAGGATCTGGTTGGTTAAAAGGCGGATTCCAGTCCTCCGGCCTGGGGTGGGGGCTGGGCCTCTGCCTTTCTGATCAGCTCCCAGGCGATGCCTCTGCTTCTGGTCTGGTCTACACACATCACAGCAGGTTTCTCATGTGGGTGCTGACCCACCTAGCTGGATTCAGGTGTGCAGTTCCCACCATCCTCCCTCTTTCTCCTGACGTGCCTCCCTGGAGAGGAGGGCCTGGACAGGAGGGCCTCCTGTCCTCCAGACTCACTCTTCAAGCTCCCCTCCAGATGAAAGGCTTGCTTGTCATCTCCCAGCTTTCCCCTCTGGGAGGACTCAAGGCTTAGGGAAATTGAATATTTTTCTCCACAAAAACAAAGAGTTCGTCTAGAGTAATTTCTTTCCCTTCTCACTATGTAGGTGGTTTTTTTTTTTTAAGATTTTTTTATAAGAGATTTTTTTATTTAGTTTTTTAAAGAATTATTTATTTATTATGATAGAGAGAGAGAGAGAGAGGCAGAGACACAGGAGGAGGGAGAAGCAGGCTCCATGCTGGGAGCCCGATGCGGGACTCGATCCTGAGACTTGATCCCGGGACTCCAGGATCGCACCCTGGGCCAAAGGCAGGTGCCAAATCGCTGAGCCACCCAGGGATCCCCTGTAGGTGGGTTTAGAAAATTAAGACCAGATGTTCCTTCTCCTGCCCAGAGCATCCACCCAAGCCTAAGGTGGGGCACAGCCCTGGCAACTCATGTTGGACGCTGAAGAATACAGTTTCTGGTTTTGATCTCGGGGATGAAGGTTATCGGACTGTTGCCCTTCCACGCTGGGTTTCTAGCTACCAAGTAGCCAAGGCCTTTGCCTGTGAACCACCCAGTGTTAGCATCAAAATTTCCTGATGGGCGTGACAACTTTTACACTCATGAAAGCTAAATGACTCCTAGAGGGTTCCTAATGGGTTCCATAGGACCTGAGAGCCATTTGTAATGAAACAAGGAAAGTAGGGTGCCTGTCCTCGTCTTTGGTTCTTGCTGTTGTTTCTTTTTATGGGGAGGCTGGGGAAGGTCATCCTGAGATTGAACACAACTTATCCAGGGTGGATTTGTCCTGCTTTCCGTCTGCTGCAGGCAGCCTGCAAGGGGGAGTCTTAGTGACCCAGGGCCAGTAGCATTGATGGCAGGAAGAAAGGTCCTTCACCCTAACTTGCCATCTCTTCTTCCCTGGGCCCCTGAGCTGCCAAGAGTTTGAGGTGTTGTGTTGAAGCCGTGTAGGGGTTGGCACGGATAACATCTCCACCCCCTCTCTCCTAGGAGAGACTAGCTTGGCTTGCTGCTTCAGAGAGGGTTTTTTTTTTTTTCTTTTTTTAAAGATTTTATTCATTATTTGAAAGAGCATGAGCTCTGAGGGGGAGGGGCAGTGGAAGAGGGAGAAGCAGGCTCCCTGCCAAGCAGGGAGCCTGATGCGGGGCTCAATCCCAGGGCCCCAGGATTATGACCCAAGCCAAAGTCAGATGCTTAGCAGATTGAGCCACCCAGGCACCCCAGAGAGTTATCTTGAATGTCAAAACCAACTCTAGGAGTGTGTGGCTGGCTGGCTCAGTTGGTGGAGCATGCACCTCTTGGGATTATGAGTTCAAACCCCATGTTGAGTGTAGAGATTACTTAAAAATAAAACCTTTTTTAAAAAAGATTTTATTATTTATTCATGAGAGACACACAGAGAGAGAGGCAGAGACACAGGCAGAGGGAGAAGCAGGATCCCTGCAGGGAGCCTGGTGCGGGACTTGACCCCGGGACTCCAGGATCACGCCCTGGGCAAAGGCAGGTACTAAACCACTAAGCCACCCAGGGATCCCCAAAACCTTTAAAAAAAGAAACCAAACAATTCTAGGCGGTAGCTCTGTGGTCCAGATTACAAGGAGGACTTGGATGTGCTCAGGTCGGTATAACCCTGAATTCGTGCTCGTGTTTCAGGCGGGCTCCTCCAGTGAAGCCATCTTTAGCACAATGAGCCAGGAACTCGTCCCAGCTAGTCGAGTGGCCCTGGCTGGGGAGTACGGAGCGGTCACTTACAGGTAAGCACTCATCTGCCCAGACTTGGCTGTGAGTTCTTGGAGGGCAGAGTCCTCACCGGTGTTCTCATGTGTCTGACAGACATGTAATAAATAGTTAAATGCTCACTGAATGATATGATTAGTGGTAGATTTGTAGTTGTTGGATAATTCAGCTTGGGGAAGATTGTAGATCATCTGACTCCAACTAAAGGTGCAGGTGGCTGATTCACACTGGAACAGAGAGAGAAGGCCATCCAAAAATGCCCAATTCAGAATTCTGGAAAATTGATCAGACTTCTGATTCTTCTTAAGTAATGTCTAGGTGGAAAGCCACCTGTCCATACGAACTGAACTCTGTCCCCAGTGCAGGTAGCTCTCATTCCAGTCTCAGCATTTAAAAAAAAAAAAAAAATGTGGCCTATTCCCTAAGAGTTCTGCATGTGGCAGAGGAGCCAGACGAGTCGGGAGCAGAGGCCAGGATGGTAAGTGCTAGAATCATGGATGCTCAGTGCTGGGGAGCCCATTCGGAAAGGCCTCTTGAAGGGTTGACTAGGTACCAGTTGGGCAGAGAAGTCGGCGAAGAGGCCTTCTCCACAGAGGCAAGGGGGTGGTTGGCAGCCCACGCTCCTGGCTCTTTGTACGAGCCGGTGTGTGGCGGCGACGATGAATGCTAAGTGTGACAGGTGTGCTCACTTCCATGTTTGTAGACCACAGGAAGAGCTGCACCGTGGCGACTTACTAGAGGGTTGGTTTATACACCTGGTGCAGTCAGAAGCTGGAGGGAAGATATAGGGCCTTGAGAAAGCACATGGAAAGCCCCTTCCGAGGTTTAGAAGGCTCTCCTGACGGGGGCCGTGCAGGCCAGCAGAGGCAGCTGCTTGGTGAGCTTGGTTTCGTCCTCCTCTCCTTAGCCCTTTGTAGGGAAGAGTGGGTCCGCTGTGGAGGGAGTGTCTGCTGCTTTCGGAGCGGGGACAGTTGTCCTCAGGTGGCTGTGTGTTCACTTCACCTGCTGGCGGGCTGTGGCGTCCCTGGGAGCGCTGACCCCTTGCTGCGGGGCTGCCCAGACCTCCCATCTGAAGTGCTCCCTGTCAGAGGGAGTTTTTTTTCTTCGCACTTCTCCCCATGACCTTAAACCATAGCTGCCTTTGTCTCTGTCTCTCCTGCTGTACTGTGAGCTCTCTGAGGGCAGGGCTTTCCCGTGTTGTTTGCTGAGTACCGTACAGCTCAGTAAATGTCCGTCCACGGAGTCCATGAGTATGACGGAAAGTCTATTACCTAAGGTGCTGATGACATCAGTGACGCAGGAGAAAGTGTCTCAGCCCCTGAAAGCACCGTGGGCACGTTCCTACGTAGCCCCTGCTCATCCAGGGGCCTCAGGCTCAGCCCGGTGATCGGCTCCTCTGCTTCTCCCACCTGATTTCAGATCTTGTCCCCTGTGCTCCGCCCTACTGAATTCATAACTGCCCTCCCCCACTGCAGCCCTACCTGCGCCACGCTCCTCCTCGCCTGTCTTCTGCATGCAGTTAGTGCTCCTAGGGCTGCCCTCCCCACAGCCCCCTGCCCCACTCCAGGCCTCCGCTCAGACACAGCCACACCATCCCCTGGGCTCTCACAGCAGCGGGCAGAGCTTTCCCACTGTGGCTGGAGGGCCTTGGGCTGTGATCTGCCCCACTAGCCCCAGTGGCCCAAGGCTAGGAACAATGCTTGAGCGCCCTTGATTGCTTACAGGGGTGCACTCAGATGGACTCAAGGGAAAGCAGTAGGCCGCACGTGGACGGTTTCCACAGAGCTCGGGACCGAGGCTGATCTTAGGACGGGGGCAGGCATCTTGCCCCCTCGGTGTTGTCTTCATGTCTCTGGGCTTCTCCATTCTCTGCTCTCTACCACCCTGTGTCCTTATTTCTCACCCCATAGCTCTTCCGTTTTTTTTTTTTCTTGCAAAATTTTATTTATTCATGAGAGACACAGAAAGAGAGGCAGAGACATAGAGGGAGAAGCAGGCTCCCTACCAGGAGCCAGATGCAGAACTTGATCCCAGGACCCTGGGATCACACCCTGAGGCAGATGCTCAACCACTGAACCACCCAGGTGCCCCAGCTCTTCCGTTTCTGTGTGCCTTTGCTTTCCACACCTCTTTGGCTTCCCGTGGCCCCAATCAAGTCTCAAGGCGTCCTTCGCCTTCATTACTGACTGCTAGGTTACTACCATGTTCTTTCACTAGTGCTCCTCAAAGAGAATATAACTGGCTTCCATCCCTTTTCCCACCCAACTATTTGAATCTCAGATGTGACTGCAGGCTCCTTGCCCTGACAGGTGGGGACGATACATAAGAAGCTGACTCAGTCTACCCAGAACCCAGCCACTGTGCCACAGCAGGGCTGTGGGGCCCCCGGGGAGGAGGGGAAGGCAGGTGACTTCTGTACTACAAACTGTATCTGTGACCATCCAGTCATTCAACAAAGATTTAATTGAGTTCATAGTTCATGTTAAGGGTTAACTAGAACTTGCCACCAGAGATTCTAGATCCTTTATAGAGTATTACAACCTTACAACTTATGTTACCACCTTTCCTTTGGCAATTGAGACTGAGCCAAGAAGTAACCGGGCTAGGGGCTTCAGGAGCAGACCTGGAATTCAAACCACATAGTCTGATTCCAGAGTCTCCTGACCTCTGTATTCTACTGCATGGGGTCGATGGATGTACAGACGAATGGGCCGCCGGCATCATCAGTGTGATGAGTCATCATTATGGGTCTATCTTTTTGCTCTAGCACCAGGTTCTGCACCTGACACATAGCAGATCTACAGTAAATATCTGATAGATAAAAAAGTGGGTGAATAAATGTCAGTATTTATTGTGGCATGATTATTTTTCCAACTGTTATATCTGATACTGGACTCATACATTTGTCTCATTTGGCTAAACTAGAAAATCCAAGGGTGGTCCCAAGCAGCTGGCCCCTCACCCCAACATCATCCGGGTCTTTCGTGCCTTCACCTCTTCTGTACCACTGCTGCCAGGAGCCCTGGTTGACTACCCTGATGTGCTGCCCCCACGTCTTCACCCCGAAGGCCTGGGCCACGGGCGGACGCTCTTCCTCGTTATGAAGAAGTAAGTAGGACTGGTCCTGCCTCTGCACCTGGAGCCCCAGGGTGGCAGGGAGGGGGACCCTCACCCGTGCTGAGGGCATACTGCCCCACAGAAGAGGGTCCCTTTGGGGTGACTTTTCATGAAAATGGAGTTCTCACTAGTGTTTTTAGTACACTTGACTCTTGCCCCCTCTCTGTGGCTTGCCTTACCAATTGTGTAAAAACACTTCTCCTTCCTCACCCTCTGCACCTACTGGCATTGCTGTCACAGGCATGGTGAAGAAGGGGTTACCTGTACCATTACTTCCATCATGTGGGGCCCCAGCTCTCCCTAACTTCAGGGTAATGGGTGGTAACAGAAAGGATACTTGGGGAAAAAGAGAAAAAAACTCCAGAAGAGAAAGGGCCATCATCCTATAGCAATAAAGCTGCTGGGGACCATTGATGTGCGACAGCCAAAGGCCCTGTCACCCTCTCCACCAGCTACCCCTGTACGCTGCGCCAGTACCTCCGCGAGAACACCCCAAGCCCCCGCCTCGCCACCGTGATGATCTTACAGCTGCTGGAGGCGGTGGATCATCTGGTTCAACAGGGCGTCGCGCACAGAGACTTAAAATCTGACAACATTCTCGTGGAGTTGGATGCAGGTGGGTCCCGGCCACACCCTGCCAGCTCTCCCGGGGTACCAGACTTCAGGTCTGCAGGCGTCTAGGACCCTTCCAGTCCTTTCGGGTTTTGTGTTCTATTAGAAGTTGTGTTTTAATTTAGCTCTGTACGTCAGACATGAGCTCTCACCCCTTCAAAATAGAGGCTTTCGTTCTCTTCATGGGGCTTATGGGGTGATGATTAATAGTCTCTGTGTTGCCCACTTTCAGAATAAAAACCTCGGTGGTGGAAGTTTCCTCAAAGAAGAATTAGCTCAGTAGAAAAAGAATTTTTAAACAGTGAGAGCTGCCCGAATGTAAGCCAAGCTGCCCCTGGAAACGAGTGCCCGTTTCCCACACAGGAAGCAGTGACGTAGAGGCTGGACGGCCACTTAACCCACAATACCATGAAGGAGTCGTAGATCTCGTAAATTTTGAAGTAGAAGATTTAAAGTAATGTGCCACTAAATTGCTAAAGGAACTAGCTTTTTAAAGGAAGTCTGAATCCTTTTACAATCCTAACATACCTGTTTCTTGGGTTTGGATTTGGGGTTTCAAATTGAGATCAAAGGTCCCTGGGGCAGAAGTGCTCTTAGGGCCATCCGCTGAGTAGACAGTGAGCAGCCCCTTCAGGGTTGGGATAGCTCCTATTACCTGATCAGTTACAAGGAGCCAAACTTTATCCAGTTCTTTGCTTGAGGGCTTTGATTTTCCGGAGGCACCTCCGTGCTCCTGTAGCTGCCTCGCCTTCCCCAGCGCGCTCTGGTGAGCAGGCACCCAGCCAGGCTTGCTGGCCTGCAGCCCTGGGCTGGCACTGAGGCCCCTTACCCCTCACCCACGTCCTGGTGGCTGCAGGAGGGCTTAGGAAGGCCTCTCCACGGGGAGAATCCATCACTCCCCTCTGCCTGTCCCCTCCCCAGATGGCTGCCCCTGGCTGGTGATCGCAGACTTTGGCTGCTGCCTGGCTGACGAGCGCACCGGCCTGCAGCTGCCTTTCACCAGCTGGTATGTGGATCGGGGCGGAAACGGCTGCCTGATGGCTCCAGAGGTGAGTCCTGCGGAGCGTGTCCTGTGCCATCAGCAGACTTCTCCGTCTTGTTTCAGCTGAGAGGACGAGACTCGCTGCCTCATTACCCACTCAACACCTCCATCTTTTCTGACCTTTTTTTGGCACAAGTCCCTTGTCCGTGTGTGTTCATCTGGCCCTCCCCTAATGTTCCCAGGTGATGCGTGTCTTGTGGGCGCAAAGTAGGCGGCCTACGCAGATTCTGGGTCTGAGCCACAACTCACTCAAATTCTAGGCTCCTTAGGACGGGGTTCAGGTTAGCCCAGGTGCCGTGGAGGCATATGAATGCGTTAGAAATGCCAGCAGTGTGAAGCTCACCTGTTGCTTTCCAAACAGGTGTCCACTGCCTGCCCAGGCCCCAGGGCAGTGATCGACTACAGTAAGGCTGATGCCTGGGCCGTGGGTACGCTTGCCTACGAAATCTTCGGGCTCTCCAATCCTTTTTATGGCCAGGGCAGGGCCCACCTTGAAAGCCGCAGTTACCAGGAGGCTCAGCTGCCCACGATGCCCGAGTCAGTCCCTCTGGATGCAAGACAGCTGGTGAGGTCACTGCTCCAGCGAGAGGCCAGCAAGGTGAGGCTGTCCCGGGCTTTACAGGGATTGTGGAAGTTTATGTTCCAGACTAAAGACCCAGTTTGGGCAAGACGAGAGTGACACACGAGCAACTCTGTCTTACAAAGAAAAGGCCAAGTACAGGGGAAGAAACCTTAGTGTAACTGGGAGTAGAGGAGCTAGCGCCGAATTAGCATTCCAGCAGTGCAACTCTTCTTGGCTCTAGTGGCTTAAGTTACTTAGAGGGAAGAAGATGCACTTTTAAGAAATGTTTAATGGAGTTGTAGCTTAGAGGAACAGCTGGCATCTAATGAGAGATGAAGACCTTTCCCAAAAACAGATGTGGACATTTCGAAGTGGACATAAAGGAATAGAAAGGCTAAGGTATTTGAAGATGTAATTGGGAGTGGCGGGGCCCAGGTCAGGTGGTAAGCCTAGTGGGAGAACACGAAGGCAGGCGGGGTTCAAACTACTCAACCACTTCTCTCCTCCTGGGGGCATGCTGTCAGCACCACAGCCAGTGAGAGGTGGCCCCTCGAGAGCCTGCTGGTACCCAGGCAGTTTGTGAGCCTTCCACAGTGGAGAGGCTGATGGCCCGGAGCACGTGTGTGTCCCTGAAAAAGCTGGGGCATGGGTAGAGCGCAGCCAGCAGGTGTCAGGAAGTGAACGGAATTGCAGGAAGGAGAGACAAAGGGGTGAACAAGAATTTGGTTGGGGCCACAGAAGGGAAGACCCTAAAATGAGGATTCATTAACAGATCGGGTTGTGGGCCCAATGCTTTGCTGTCGACGTTCTAAGCTTGTTTTCCTGCCTGTTGCAGAGACCATCTGCCCGAGTAGCTGCTAATGTGCTTCATTTAAGCCTCTGGGGTGAACATACTCTCGCCCTGAAGAATCTAAAACTAGACAAGATGATTGGCTGGCTCCTCCAGCAGTCAGCTGCCACTCTGCTGGCTGACCGGCTCACGGAGAAGAGCTGCGTGGAAACCAAGATGAAGATGTTATTTCTAGCCAACCTGGAGTACGAAGCGCTGTGCCAGGCAGCCCTGCTCCTCTACTCCTGGAGAGCAGCCCCATGAGGGCTCCGCTGTAGCTGGTGCATTTTACTAAAAGAACTTAGCAACATCTGTGTGGTGCTGGTCTGTGAGTGCTGCAGGCAGGGCGGGGCTCCCAGGCGCCAGGGTGGGTGGCAGGGGAACACTGCAGGAGGCCTCTGGTTTGGCAAATGGAAGGGACGGCTGGCAGCCAGGTTCACAGTCTGTAGCTAACTCCCCCTAGCTGTGCCACTTTAGGTCCCTCGTCTAACTGCGTGAGGTTCTCTCACCTGTGATGTGAGAAGCTGGACTAGGGCAGACCTAGAGATGCTGGCAGAGAGGGCCCGACGGTAAATACTCCAGTCTGGCTACTCCACTGTGGTAGGACAGAAGCAGTTGGAAATTCGTAAATATATGGAAATTTCAATTTCATGTGTCAGTAAATATTAATTTTTTTCAGTTATTTAAAAACATGAAAACCCCTCTTAGCTTGCAGGCCATACAAAAAACAGGCAGTGGGCCAGACTGCCCCAAGACATAGTTTGCTAACAAAATGTGCTGAGATCAGAGTACAAATCCACAGGAGTGAGTTCTCTGCAGGTGAGAAGAGGGTCAGGGGTTAAGGGCAGGGGCTTTCCCCAAAGGCCCCCCTCCTCACAGACTTCTGCAAAGTCCATAGCCAAGTGGGTCTGTTGGGGGCGGGGGGGGGGGGCTCCAGGCAAGGCAGGGGCTGGCAGTGGCAGGACGGGACTCTGGAAACGGAATTCCAGCTTGTTTGAAAGTGGCAGCCAGGGCCTCGGTCTGCATGTTTTCTGAGCTAAGCAGACATTTGCCCAGGTCAGTATATTCAGGTATCAGAAAGAAAAGACAGCCAGCGAGGCCTAGAAGGCTCTAGAGTGTCTCTGAGGAAGCACTTCCAGAGCTCCTCCAGCTACTGAATCGGGCTGAGCAGAGCTAGAGCAATGATGAAATGATGAAGTGGAAATTAACAGTGTGTTTTACTTGATTTGCCTTGATTAACATTTCTTACAGGAATTGTGAAGAATTAAATACACATTTGCAACTGCAGAACACGTATTTGCTTTGAATTGAATATGTGGCTTAGAGTGATTCTTACACCATAATAAAGACAAGAAAATTCTGTGAGTAGAGATCAACAATGGGGAAGGGATTTCACATAAGCTCTTACACATGCATCTTAGGAATCCCAACTGTTGCCTAAAGCAAGGTGTACTTTTCATCTCTATAATCCTATTATAAAGTCAAGCCCCAGATCCCCCCCCCCCTCCTCTCCCCTGAAGCTCTAGGATTTCATACTTTGGTCGGCAACACTGAGGCCACTTAACTGTGGTGAACAGGAAAGCACATGGGCCAGACGGAGTTGGAGGGCAATGTTTATCTTAGAAATGAGAGTGACCACATATGAAAAATACCACTTAGACTCACAGAAAATTCATCCCCACCCCCCTCCCTTGGTACTCAGTGCCGCATCTCCCCTGAGGTAAGGCTGTGCCACTGTCCCACAGCTTTAACAACAGAACAAAGCCCGCCGTGAGGAAGACGCAGGCCCGCAGAACTCCCAAGTGCCTGTCGTCAGGAGCCCTGGCTCTGCCCCTTCAGTCAGATTTCTCCTTCTCCTTCATGTGTAAGAAGACTGTGCTGAAGATGAAGAGCCCCAGCATCATGGAGAAGGCGCTGGCGTAGTAGGGGTAGGCTGAGGGGATGAAGCGCTCGTACTGCGTGTGCTGGAGCGGCCTCACGGACACCTGCCACAGGACAGAGGTGATGGGCTCCGGCCACCCAGCAGCGTAGGAGGGCCACTCTGACCAAAAAGGGGACTATGACTTGTGCTCACCTGAGTGGAAGAGTGTAAGTGCGTGTAGCCTAGCCGGTTGTAATCCACTTTAAACTGGAACACCCCATACACATCAGGCAACTTGAACTGGACGCTGTATTTGCCACCTGGGGGAAGATCCGAGACCATAACCAGGAGGGGTTTCCAGCCTCACTGGAGCCACAGTGGGACTGTCACCCTGCAGCTCTCCCGTGCAAGAACACTACTTGCCTTTTTTCTTCAAGAAGGTCCTCACAAAAGGATCGATGCGGACAAATTCCAGCTGAATGTCATCACCATCAAAGGGGACCCATCTTCCATTTGAGAGCTGCTCAATCACAATGCTGTACTCCTGAGACAACAGGCCGGTTTGGGGGTTGGGGTGCAGGACCAGCCTCAGAGCTGCTCTGAATCACTCGTGACCCTGGCAGGAACGCCAGGGCGAGCCCCCGCCCTGGGACAGGAACTCCCAGTCACAGCTCATCACAGGACCATCAAGGTCCATACCCAGGCCACACTCCACTGGGGAGTGGGCCCTCTGGGCCTCCCTGTTACCACCTTCACTGCCAGCTTGCCCCCACCCCACTCCCCCACTTCTCCTGCCTATGCTTTTCGTCCTGCCTACTCCAATGTTTCTCTGTGACTCCCACCCCCCAGCAGTGTGACCAGCAAAGCCCTCCCACTTCGGCACTTCCAAAGCAAAACCACACCCCTTCAAAAGGTCTCCTTAGACATTAGCTTATGTGCCAGGCTCTCTGCACCCATGCGGACTTACTTTCTTAGGGGTAGAGATAAATTTATCGTTCTGTATTGAGGCTGCTAAGCCCATCAGAGAAACGTTCAGTAAATCCTTCAAGCTGAAGCAACTTGGCCAAAACGCCAGGGGGTTCTCTAAGATGCTCTTACCACGAGGTCAGTGACGGTGTAGGCATTGGGTGGGGCTGTCTCACCCACCCGATGGTGGGACACAGGCCCTACACGGAGGACACCTTCCTCCTTGAACACCCAGCGGGAGAGGGCCACAGCTAGTTCATAGTTGCCTGTTTGGGAATACCTGCAGAAAGGGAGAACGAGAGCCTAGAGCACCGGAACCAACTTCTTTCCACCGGTGCCTGATTGGCAAGACTAGTTCATTATCTGTAGAGTTAAACTGCACAAAACTATAGTTTCTGCCTGGGGCCTTACATATCAAGGTATCCTGCTTAACGAGAACACAGAGAAGCTGTGAGGTGGTGTGGCTTTGGGGTTCACCTGCACAACAAATACGATTATCAAAATACCTCCACATAAGCTATCACTGCTTTGAAAAGTTCAGAGTGCCAACACCAACGACACAGCAATAAGGTCAAGTCTTTAGATAATTTAAAGTATTTGAAGACAGCTAGCCTTGGACAGTTCCAGCTAAACGGCTCCTCCCTCCCCAGCACCAGACCGCACGGCCCAGAGCCCGCCCGCACCAACCTCTGGGAGCCAGGCGCTGCCTTCTGCACTGCAGAGTTGAAGAAGGCGTCACTAAAGAAGTCCAAGGAGCCACTGAAGACGACCCGGGCGTTGTTCCTGGCCTGCAGCCCAGCAATGAGCAGGGTGTTCTTCCCCACGGCATGGGGGTACTGTGAGCAACGAGGCGCAGTCATCCAGGAGAGCCGGGGCAAGAGGATGGCGGCTGGACCACAACCACCCGGGCCCTACCACCTCTGCCCCTCCCTGCTCCCACCGGCCTTTCCCTGCCCAGCCTCTGCGAAGGGCACTCTCCTGCTTGCTTCTCGTTACATGGGGGTGAGGGAGAGAGGGGGTACAAGAGGGGGAGAGAATCCCAAGCAAGCTCCACGCCCAACACAGGGCTCCATCTCGCAACCCTGGGATCGTGACCTGAGCCAAAACCAAGAGTTGGACACCTAACTGACTGAGCCACCCAGGCACCCCACTTCTCATTTTCAAATAAAGTGCTGTACCACCAGGCCCACGACCTGGAGGCCTCAGTGCTGCCACAGGCCCCTCACCTGGGTGATAGGCTTGTCCGGGAAGAAGGAGTAAGAGGTAGAAGAGCCCGTCAGGATGTCCAATACCAAAGGGTTGTCCGGATCAGCCACCATCCTGGGAAGGAAAAGCGAACACCCAACATTGATGCCAAGGACTGAGCCCAGGGGCCAAGGGTCCCCAAAGGCCATTTCTTCACCAGGATGAGTCCCGCTTTACTCAGCAGCCGAACCCTGCTGCACCAGTAGCTCCTCTCTCACTGCACCCATGATTCTGACTCAGGGTGTCCTCCACTAACCTCGCCCACATCCTCTAGGGAAAGGAATGTCCCCAAATCACCATGTTTGCGTTAGTCTCCCAACAAAAGAGAGTGATCCTGTCCCTCCCAGGTTTCTAGCACCCTGTGCCTGCTCACTCACCCAACGCCTCGAAAGAGGATGGGGTTCAGCGATGACCTCCCGACGATGGTTGGGGCCTTCAGCAAGTTCTCGGGGTCGGCCACGATGAGCGTATGCTGCAGCAGCAGGGCAAAAGATGGAGGTCAGGAAAAGATGCCCACGTGCAGAGGACTCCCTGCTTCCCTCCTCCCTCAGCCTGGATGGGACGGGGGGGCCTGGTTACCTGGCCGAGGTCAGAAACGTCGTAGTTGTGATGGTCAATCACAGCTGTCTTCTCCTCGTCGAACTCAATCCCACACTCGCTGCCCAGCTCTCGAAGAGGGTCACCTGCACAGACCCAAGAAATGCCTGGCTCAGCCCTGGCAGGTGCACCCTGGGCCCAGCAATGTCACTGGTATCCTGGTCTCGTGCTCTCCCAGTCACCCCAACCCTGCAGCTCCCCCGTGCGCTCAGCCCCAGCCAGACCGCTGACCACCGCATGGTATTCTGAGCAGGGGGGTCAGCATCTCAGTAACAAACCACCGCCTGCCCTTCTCCACCCACGAGCCACAGAAACTCCCAATGAGGCAAAATAATTACCGCAAACAGATTTAACATGGATGAGCCTGGCCTCATAGGACTTCTCTCCTCGTCGTCACCCCCAATAAGAAGCCCACCCAGAACAGTTTTAAACATCTGTCAGTGCTGGAGCACCTGAGCAGCTCAGTGGGTTCAGCAACTGCCTTCGGCTCAGGTCCTGGTCTCGGGGCTCCCTGCTCGGTGGGGAGTCTGCTTCTCCCTTTCCCTCCCCCTTCCCACTCTTGTGCTCTCAAATAAATAAATAAAACCTTTTTTAAAAAAATAAACACCTGTCAATGCTAAGAAAAACGAAACAAGCCTGGC